CACGGCCAACTCACTGAGCACTGAAGGGGCACATATTAACTCTCTAACTTTGGAATCCTATTCTTTAAGACTGCAGAATTTTTATAATTAAAGGAGCTCTGGGGTGAAGAAATCATCTTAATGTGCTTGAGAACCATGATTCCCATCTGCCCAATGGGCACATGTCATTAAAATTAGGAAAGAAGCTGGGGGTGTTCTGGAGGAGAAAGGGGGCAGTCATCACACGGCAAGAGAGAGGCTCAGAGTAGGCCCCCGACTGTGCAGGGCCAGTCAGTGAGGCCGGTTCCTGGCCCTCTCCAGGATGGCCAAGCAGTTGGGGCAGCCTAAGAGGCACAGGTAGAGGTGAGAAGGGACAGAGGGGGAGGGGCAGCACCTCATTCACCAAGGTCACCAGAACCCCTCCCGTCACTCCAGAGATCTTCACACTTATAAAAACTGCAGATTTATTCCACAAGGGCCCATTCTCAAGAAGCTGGAGGTAAAGGGGGAGGTTCCTCCCTTCTCCCTCCCTTATTCCCCAGGGGGTAAAAATGGTCTGGACCCCAAAACCTATCCAAATAAAAAAACCAAAAAACTGAGGTTTCAAAAAGTTACAGCATCTTAATTCCTCATAGAAAAGGGAAGGAGCTCCAGGGAAGGGGGGGTCCCTGGGGTGGGGGAGCACCCCAGTCTGGTGAGACACCCACCCTAAAATAGCTGCCCCAAATGGGCTAGCCTGGGGCTATAGCATTTAAAAACTCCCACACCCCATTTTATCAAAACCAAAAAGGAAAAAAAATTTTCCCTTTCCCCCCCAAACCCAAATATATATATATAATATATTTTTTTCCTTTAAAAAAAAAAACCAACAAAAATGATTCGAAGGCATTAAGCATTAAAGTGAATCTAGAACAAGGGAATGTGAAATTCCCTCCTTCCTTCCCCCTTACTGTGGGGTTAATTGGTACATCCCCAACAGAGGAACCAGCCCCAAGGGGATGGCAGAGGGGAAGGATCAAAGGGAGCAAAGGGTGGGGGGCCTCCCCAGCTCATCAATCAGCAGCCAGTAAGGGTGTGGGCACGGTGCCAGGGAAGCCACACCCCCTTGGAATTTTCCAAGTGGGATCCGGAGGGGGAAGATGCATTCCTGTGTAATCTTCAGCCAATTCCATGTCAAGTAGAGGCAGGGAAAGCAGGGTGACAGGCCGGGTGTGCAGAAAGAGAAACAGGTCATTTGGGTCCCTGTAGTCAGGGGGAACCCCGTTTCCTCAGCTCCTGGACAAAGGCTGGAAGGAAACAAGAGGCAGGGTCAGAGCCAGTCTCTTGGCTATCTCCGAGGGACACACGGGGACACATCGCCACTGCTGCAGGGTAAGTTAAAGTTCAAACAAAACCAAACCACCTCACCTTCAATTATCTCCTCTTTGACCTTCTGTAATTCCTTCCTCACCTCTTCCAGAAGCTCCTGAAAATAATGGGGCATAACCAATCAAGAGAGGGTCCTGGAACAAACAAATCCCCTCCTTTCTTTGTGACACTACCTTAGGAACATACCAACACCAAATGACAGTCCCTGCCACTTTTATTTTATTTTTTTCTTGTGTACCAGGGATTGAACCCAGGGGTGTTTAAACACTGAGCCACATTCCCAGCCCTTTTTAATATTTTATTTAGAGACAGGGTCTCACTGGGTTGCTTAGGGCCTCATTAAGTTGCTGGGGCTGGCTTTGAACTTGCAATCCTCCTGCCTCAGCCTCCAGAGTTGCTGGGATTATAGGCATGCACCACCAGGCCTGACCCCAGCTCTTTTTGAGACAGGGTCTCATTAAATTACCCAGGCTAGCCTTGAACTTGTGATTCTCCTGCCTCAGCATCCTGAGCAGCTAAGGTCATAGGCTTACACTTAGCCAATTTCCCCTTTTCTTATTTGTTTATTTATTTGCACTGCTGAGGATGGGACTCAGGGCCCTGTGTGCTAGGTTAGTACTCTACTACTGAGCTACACTCCAGGACCCCTACCTACTTTTCAACTGGCTGAAGAGCCAGAGGAAACAGGTAGAGACCTACCCCCACTTCCTGACATGGCTGCCAAGGTTATGGAATGACTGGGGTATTCTATAAGAGAATTCTAGATCCTTGGAGCCAAAAGAAAAGTACTGGAGAACATCCAGTACCAGGCCTGGCAAATGCATTTCTCTGTCCTGCCAATTTGGATTGATAGATGGCTGGAGTCTCTGGGCTCAGAGGACTCAGCAGGAATGTGGGCTGATAGATTTCCTAAGGTCTGTCACAGGCACTAGGAATGGGGTATGATGTCTGTGATACCCCTGACCCAATCCAGTCCCTCCACTTCTCAGCCTGGAGTTTCCAAGGTCTTCTCTAGAACAACATGCACATCAGTAGCAGGCTCTGGACATAGATCTCCCTTCCTCTGGCCCCTGTCTAGCTTCCAGCCTCCACCCCAGCCTCCATCCCAAGTTACCTGCTTCACCTTCTCCAGGTCTGACTCTTCCCCAGAGCTGTGCGTAGAAGGCTGGGCCTCAGAAGCAGTGATGGAAGATGAGGACTTCATCCTGGAAAAGTTGGTGTGGTTTGGGACAGATAAGAGGCTCAAAGGAGGATCTGTCTCCCTTGCCTCCCATTCCAGGGGTTACATTGTGTTCCTCCCTATAAATTGGGCAAGTTCAACTATTTAGGGGGTGCAGCCCCAATGCTGATGGCCCACCTTGGCAAGGTTGTGCTGTTCTTCTCCCAGGGTCTCCGCACAGGTTCTGGGGATCAGGGAACAAATCAGATCAGGGACAAGGACTGCCCCCAATCTTTTCCCCTCAGCCTCAACAGCCCAAAGAAGCATTTTAGGAGACTACAATCCCCAGACTTATTCCTAGACTTTCCAAGAGGGTGCTTTGTGAGAACAGGGCATCCTGGGACTTGTAGTTTCTGTGGCTAGACAAGAGTTTCACTCACCACTCTGGGCTGGGACTCTGGCCTCTGGCTCCTCCTGCTGGTGGGAAATAAAAATATCATGAGGCAGCCCCTGTCACACCTCTGCTCATTTCCTCTTCCAGGTCCAAGGCCAGCCCTAAGACACCCCCTCCCCAATGCCCCTACCCTCTTGGGGCATCCTAAGGTGTACAGGGCAAGAAGAGACCCTCACTCACACTGGCAGATTCTTCCTTGGGGGGTTTCTCCCCAACCTGTGTGGCTTTCCTTCTGCAGAAGGGAAAAGCAGGACAGATGCTTCAGTCCTACCTCAGCCACCCAACAACCCTGCTTCCTGTTGGTCTAGAAATGTGGGCTCCGGGTTTAGCATTCTGATCATGAAGGCTAAGGAAACTCTAGTTTTAGAAGTTAAAAGTATTGTTCTTCTAGGGCTGGGGCTGTCGCTCAGTGGTTGAGTGCTTGCCTCGCATGCGTGAGGCACTGGGTTCAATCCTCAGCACCACATAAAATAAATAAATAAATAAATAAAAACAAAGATATTGTGTCCATCTACAACTAAAAAAAAAATGTTTAAAAAATATTGCTCTTCTAGAATTAGGGTGGTGAGCTCTCTGGTCCTCACATTTAGGAAATCATAAAATTCTAAAGGCAGGGACTCTCTCCTAGATGCTGAGGGGGTTTCCTGAGGTTCTCGAATCTAGGCTTTAGAACATTCTACCAGGTCAGCAGCCACCTCAGGAGACTAAGTCTCCAGTATTAAACCCCAAACCTGGATTGAGGTCAAGGGGGAACTTTCACCCAAAGAAACAAAACAGGGATCAGAGCCACCCGCCTCACCCCATACTGCAGTCTTGAGGGGACTCAGAGGCCGGGGCTTGGGCTCACCTCCGGGCCAGCATGGCATTCATCTCCTCCATGAGCCCCCCACCTGTGCTTCGGGTGCTCTCAGCTTTGGCGGCCAAGGGCCCTCCTGAGGCCTCCTCCTGCTGGAGAAATCAGGAAGGACAGAGGTCTTGAAGGACGGGCCTCCTCCCGTCACTCCAGCAGCGCCCTGGCCGCCCCACCCTGCCTGCTGCCCTCACCTTGCTGACTTTCCTGAGTTTGGCTCCGGCAATGGCTGCAGCCAGGCCAGGGGCTCCAGCTCCCCCACCACTGGGGCCTTGTGCTGCAGGCAGAGGGGGTGCAGGGGGCGGGCCTCCCCCGGCACCATGTCCTGCAGCCGAGACCCCTGAAGGGGGCAGGCCTGGGGGTGGGGGAGGGCCCGGAGGAGGGGGAGGTCCTGGAGGCGGGGGTGGTCCCCCCACGGGGGGAACAGGTGGGCCTCCTGAAAGGAAACAGAAAAGGAGGTACTGAGAGGAGCCTCATCATTGTCCAGCCAGCCTGCCCCTTTCTCCAGGGGGACCCCAACTCCCACAGCCCCTTGTAGTCACCTGCGTTGGAGACCCGGCGTTCCCGCTCCATATACTCAGGCTGGCTGGGCTGCTGCCTGTGGTGAGGGTGACAGGGCCAGCGTCAGTCCAGGCCCATCGCCATCACTCGTGTGGCCACTGACCTCTGGCTCTGGTGAGGGTGCTCCTAATTCCCACCCAAGCCTTCCTTCCCCAGGGGCCCAAGAGAGGTAGGGTAGAGAAGGGGGGGCAGGAGAGACGCGAGTTCTAGCCATTAAACTGCCACGTGCACCCGAATCGTAGAACGCCCTTTAACAACCAGATCCTGGGTCCTCGGAATCAGAAGCAGGGGGCCTAGAAGTTTTACAATCTGAGTGTGAGTTTCCTGTCCGTTTTATTTTGTAGTACTGGGATCACACCACTCTACCTGGAGAAACTGTCTTAGACCTTTGTATGTTTTTTGTTTTTTTTTTGTACCAAGGATTGAACCCAGGGGTTTTAAAAAACTTAATTTTGAGGTAAGATCTCACTAAGTTGCTGAGGCTGGCCTGGAACTTGGGGTCCTCCTGCCTCAGCCTTCCTATTGCTGGGATTACAGGTATGCACTAGCACACCTGGCTGTGAGGAGTTTCCTGAACCCCAGGAGATGGGTTGTCTGCAAGCTGTTTACTTCTACTCCCTTGGGAGTTGGGACTTTCTGGAAACTGAGAGTTGGAGAGGTCATGGGTTCTCCAGCAGAAGAAAGGTTCCCCACCCAGAGACCAGCCCACCTTTTCTGCTGCTCCACCTCCTCCGGGGAGGGGCCGTTCTGGGTGGACCAGGCCGGCGGTGCTGGGGGTGCAGGAGGCCCACCTCCTGAAAGAGTAGAAAGGGTCGTGAGTCCACCCTGGGAGTCTGCAGGGATCTGCCCTGGCCCTTAGTGCTGTCCCTTGGGTCACTCAGCAGTCCTGCCCAGAGTTGCACACTCCTCCTTGCTTGAGACCCTGACTTTTAGAGTCCAGGTGTGGTACCCTAGGAAGAGGGCCAGTTCTAGCTTCCCTTGGCAGAGCTGCCCTGAGATAGATGATGTTGGGATACCCAAGAGACAGACAGGGAAGCTGCGGCCCAAGGGGGTCAACAGCCCCAAAGCTGTATAGTTTGGAATCTGCAGGAACAAGCTTGAATTCCAGTTGACCTGAGCATCTGGGCTCTTGAGCACAGCCAGGGCCACATGGAGCCTGCCAGGACCTGGAAAGGCTGAGGGCTTCCTCCTCATCTGCCCCAGGGCTCTGACCCCCATCACGCATACACTGCTACTGCATTTGTCTGTGAGCTCCCAGACAAGCGGGCCCTTCGGCTCTAGCACTGCAGTTGCCCCACGAGGCAAGCCCTCTGCCACAGGGATTTCTAGCCCTGCAGCAGCAGCTCCAGACCTCGGGTACCCAGCAGCCACCCGAAGCCTGCTGCTTCAAGCCCCATCTGGGGACCAGGAACTTGGGCTGGCCCAGCCCCCGCACCAGAGCCTGCACTTGACCCAGATCCCCAGGCAACTCAGATGTGCACGAAAGTTTAAGAAATACCAACTGGAGACTGCTTTGGTTTTGTTTCCGCAGGGCTGGAACTCAGGGCCTGCTACATGCCAAGCCAGCACTCCACTACCAGCTCCTCCTCAACCCCCACCTGGAGACCTTTAAAATATCAATGCCCCCAAACTACTAGACGACATAAAGCAGCAGGGTCACCTGGAGAAAAGGCTGGAGGGTGGAAATCTAGACATCTTGATCTGGGCGTACTGAAGAAGGTACTCTTGGGAGCCCACCAGATTCTCCCCATATGTTTGCACCAGAGCAACCAATAAGGCCCAGATGGTAGGGCAGCAGCCTCGGGCCCGCCCACTGGTCGTAGGTCCCATTGCCCCTGCTGCCCCGCTGACCTTCCAAGGCCTCCAGGGCGCTGGCCATGCCGGCAGCAAACTGCGCTGCGTCCTCCTTGCTGCCGAAGTTGAGGCCCCAGACCTGGCGGGCATCCCGCCACTGATGGAAGTTGGGGGTGGCCTGATTATACTTCACACCCCGGACGATGGCACAGTTGATGACCACCTGGCAGGAGGGGAAAGGAGGTGAGGGGCGGTGGGCTCAGGAGGGGCTCAGCCCGCAGAGAGAGGGACGAGGGAGCCACACCTGCTGGTCAGGCTGCATCTTGCGTCCGACAACCCGGAAGGAATTGGCCGTGGGGTTGTGGTAGATCTGCACGCGGCTGAAGGTCTGGGGACCCGTGCCGGCAGGCAGCCACCGCTTGTTGCCATCGTCATAGAGCATCACCGTCGCCCGGCTGGAACAGATCACGGTCTCGCTGCCAGAGGTGGACAAAAAGGGAGAGGAGGTGGTCACCTTCTTCACCTGGGTCTCCCCAGAAGATCCGAAGGGAAAAAGAGCAAGGGGAAGAACAAGAGAGGGGGCGGGCATCCTCCAGGAGGACAAGAGGGCGGATCAGAGAGGGGAAGACAAGTGAGGGGCTGGGACAGATGGGAGGTGAGGAAGGCAGAGTCAGGCTGGTAACACCATGACAGACAGATAGGGCGTGGTGGGAAAGGAGGCGACCAGGCAGACAGAGATAAAGACAGAGGCAGAGATCAGAGAAGAGGGAGGGAGGCGCAGGTGAGCAGGAGGCGGTGGCCCTTCCTCAGTCTCCAGCAGCCTGCAGGGACCCCTCCCTGCCTCTCAGGTCAGAGGAGGAAGCAGAGGCTCAAAGAGGGGAAGGGTGAGGGCTGCTGAGCTAGGCCCCTCTTCCCCCAGGTCACCTCGCTGTCACCAGCTCCCCAGGCCATCAATTGCCTCTTGAATGGCCCCAGGGCAGACACTTCCTGATTTGGGTCAGGCCCTCACTGGGTGGGGCTGGGGACAGCTACACAGCAGTGGCCCAGACAGACAACCCTGGCGCCACCCTCCCAGGGCTCAGAGACAGACATCCCAGACAGTGACAACTCAGGGTCCCAGCCCAGGTCTGGGGCACTCAGAAGGAGCCCCTTGGGTCAGGCAGGGCTCCCAGAGTGTGGAACAGCTGGCTTGGTCTTAGTGGAGGGATCTGTCTGAGCCCAGACCTGACTTCCCAGGCCTGGGTTCAAAGCTCTGCTGAGGGCGGGCTACAGCTCAGGGCTCGCCTCCTGTGCACCAGGCCCTGTTCAATCCCCAGCACCACAGGAAAAAAAAAAAGCTCTGATGAACCCTTTCCACCACATGGTCACAGTGAGGGACAGTACGGAACTAACTATCTTCTCTTCCCTGCCCACCAACTGGAGAAATGCAGGTGGCCTCCTCCCAAGGTGGTGGGTGCGAGTAAGGAGTCTAGACACTTGAGCACCTGGCGGCTGTCAGCACCATGTCGCGGGCACCCTGGGCAGGCCCGCTAGTGCCCTATACAGCTGCACCCCTCCAGCCCCCAGACTGGGAGGCTCAATCCCCTCCCCCAGCGAGGAAACTCAGACTCCCAGACGGGAAGTGACTTGGCCAAGGTCACACACAGACAGGGGAAGTGTGGGGGGGGGGAAGCACTGATCTCTACCCTACCCCACACCCACCGGTTTCTTTCCTGAAAAGAAGAAGTTGGTGGTCAGAGGTTTCCGGGGAGAGAAATTACGCCCACAAATGGGGGCGGGGGGCTGGGGCCCGACACGGAGGCTAAGCAAGCTGGTCTAGGGAAACCCTCTGTAGGCCCTGGGGGCTGAGCCCATGTCCCCACTGTACATAACTGGCATCTCCTCCCCTCGGATCCTTCCGCTGGGTCAGAGCCCCGAGCTCTTCCCCAGAGCCACTGGTTTGTCCCCACTGCAGTCCCCCTGAGGACACTATTTCATCCTCACCTTGCAGATAAGATTGCTGATCAGGGGCCCAGAGAGGCTGAGTGACTGGGCCACTAGTGACACAGCCACATAGCTACTAAGCAGCAGAGAAATGAAACCTTTTTTCCTCCAGTGCTGGGGATGGAAACCAGGGCCTGACACGCCAGGCAAGGGCTCCACCCCTGAGCCACAGCCCAGCCCAGCCCGGAGTGAGGATTCAATCCAGGCCACCTGGCTTCCAAGTCCACAGCCTTAACCACAGGGAAGCCTGGGCCCTACCAAGCACCAGGTGTCATTTGGACAAGCACAGCCTGGGGGGCTGTTTCTGGCTCTGGTGCCTCTGGCAGGGCAGGGTTAAGGTCTTGCCCACACCTGCCACCCACACCCAGAACACTCTGGCCAGGTGCCGAAGAGCTGGAGTGCTGTTGCTGCCCCACCCTGGCTGCACTTTGCCCTCCCAGGTGGCCCTGCCCTGCTAAGGCTCTGGCCTGGCCAGAGAGCTAGGCACCTGCAGGGTGACCCTGGGCTGGTCCTGCCCTCCCACGGGTTCACCGTAGCTGAAGGACCTTGTTAAAACCCAAGGCGGATACTGTCCCTGTCCTGGGATCTTTGGGGCCTAAGGGATCTGCCTCCCACCCTCCCCCCCCCCAGCTCCCAGCCCCACTTCCACACTGTCACACTGTTCCTTCAGGGTGTCGGAAATCCAAGGCCTGGGCCTGGCCTGCACCCTCACCTCCTAGCTGTCACCTCTTGCGAAAAGCCCTCCCTAACTTCCTGGTCTGGAGAAGCTCTCCCCTCTCCTCCCCTCCAGCACTTTTCATAGCAGCATCTGCCTGAAAATCTATCCTGTCCTCCCCAAATGTCAGGTCTACAAAGGCCAGGGGGTTGTCCCTTCTGTTCACTATTCACAGAATAGTACCTAGCACTTAGCAAGGACTCAAGAGTTGTTAAATAAACACATCTGTAAAAAAAAGGCCAACTCCTAATAATGACAGCTGACATTTATCAGCTAGCTTGTGTCCCAGACACCATTCCAGGCACTGGGACCCAATTTCTAGCTGGCACAGTTATACAACCTCAAGAAGTAGACTCTGCAGGCACAGAGAGGTGAAGACATTTGATGCAGGTCACACAGCAAGTAAGTAGAAGGGCTCATTTGAACCCAAATCCACCTAAGTTCTTCATTTAAAGATGAGAAAATAACTAGGATGAAGTTTTTAAAAAGCAATGTACAAAGTAGAGTGGATCAGAGGTTTCAGAAAAAAAAAATAAAAGGTGGGGAGGATATAAATATATCCACACACAGTGATATATGCAGAGGCTTCTCAAGAGACGAACTGTGAGTCAGTGAGGGAGAAGCAGATACTTCACACCTTTTACCCTTATAGTTCCTTTTCTTTATTTTCATTTATTGTGAACTGGAATTACCTGTAAAACCCTAATTCATAAGTTAAAATACACACATACACACACACACACACACACACACAAAAAAAAACTATAAACTAGGCAAAAGCTGGAGTGGAAAACCCCATAGTCAGAAAGTGGATTGTAGGGGTCAGACAGTTCCTGGGTGCTGGGGTCACACCCTGCTCTGAACATGAGAACTCCATAATTCCCCAGCAGAGGCCTCAGGCCTTGTTGTGTGGCTTCACCTCTGTGCCCCTCAGTTTCCAGCTCTGGGATGGCTGTAAGGATAAAAAGAGATGACACCAAGCCCTGAACTGGGACCTGAAAAGTGGCACACATTTATATTTTGAGCTGAGAGTCCTAACAGGAGGGAGGAGGCTTCCCCTGCTGGAGGTAATACAGCGCATCAACCTTCCACACACAATTCTTGCCCTTCCCTTCACTGCGCCCCTCTCCAGCATGGTGGTGCACACACACAGCCTTCCCCAGCGCTGAGCTCTCTTTGAAGCAACCCCTGAGCTCTCTTTGAAGCAACCCCGGGTGGGGAACCCAGTGTAGGCTCTGGGAGCTTGTGTGGTTTCTCTGGTCCCTCCTTCCTAGTAGGCCTCAGTTTCCCAACTGAACAGGAGGGTAAAGTTTCTGTGTGGATTTCTTTTTTGATTACCTGAATGATCTTAAGTTCATGTGTGCATTTTGCTTTGTTTTTACAGTAAAAGCATGTTATTTTATAATTTTTAAAAAACTACAGGTTTTATTTCCCTCTCTTTTTCTTCAGTACTGGGCTCTGAACCCAGGAGCACTTGGCCAGGGCTACATCCCCCATCCTTTTGCATTTTTATTTTGAGACAGGGGCTTGCTAGGTTGCTGAGGCTGGCCTTGAACTTGCAGTCCTCCTACCTCATCCTCCTGTGTGGCAGGGACTGTGGGCCTGCTCCACTGTACCTAGCTTCTTTTTTCTTTCATAGCACAATAGAGACAGTCCTGAGTTCAAGCTCAATATTGGCCACTTTCCAACTATCTGACTTTAATTGGCAATTTGCTTAACTACTCTGTGTCTCAATTTTCCCCATCTTATAAACTGAAGGTTGAGACAGGGCACAGAGCCTGTCACTGTGTTGATCTTAAAATCATCATGAGGGCTAAATTGAATCAGATGCCTTGTACAGTGCCTGTCATGAAGTAGAGGTCTGACTAAATGATCTCATCACTTTTTAAAAAAATAAAACAAGAACAATAACTTCTATTATTGTAAGAGGAAAGAAAGAAACCAAATTCTTCCTAAGTCCCTTCTGCTGGGGTTCCCTGCTTTCCCAGAAGCCCAGCTCCCGGATGCAGACACTCAACAAATATTTGTCAAATTGTGAGAAAAAGAAGTATATCTTGTAATTTTCCATCTTAACATCCTCTCTTCCAACTGCCCCAGGACTGTCCCCAGTCACACCATCCAGAAATCAGCCCATTCCAGCCTCCTCCCCTCGCTGAAAACTGCCTAAGAACTCCTGAGGATCTGCGCCAGGCCCCTCTTATTTTGAGCCTCAGTTTCCCCACCTGGGAATAGGGGCATGGGTCATTTTGAATCCTAGCTGTCCTTGGAGAAGGAGCACTGCCCAGGAAGTTCTGTGTGACCACCGGCAAAGGAGACCCCTCAGAAGGCGGGAGGAACACTGGTGGGACAAGCACCCTCAACTTCTGCCCACCCCGCGGAGTCGGGAGGTTCGGACTCCTTGGCCAAGGGAGAGGGGGCCCTGTGGAGGGCCAGGGCCTCCGGGCTGGGGGGAGGGCAGGAGGCCGGCCCAGACACTGCTCCTGCCCTTTTACGGTCTCGCAGTGAGTGAGGCAGCACTAACTCGGACATCCGCCTTCCACCGTGCCTGGGACCGGAAACGGGCGGGGCTGGGGCGGTGGGAGAGAAGAGTCCCCCGGGAGAGAGAGAAGGAAGAAGGCCTGTCTCCTGCAAACTGCCCCTCTCGGGATGTTGCTCTACTGGGGAAAGGCTATGCAGGGAGGTGGAGGGTGCTGAGGGTGTCGCCTTGCTCCAGATCTTCCAACAATTCCTTTCACTACAGAATCCCCCGCCCCACAGCAGGGGGGGTTCTATAAGGAT